ACACAGGACTTTTTTCTGGGATGGTTATACAGGCCAGTTAAACAATCCCTGAGAAATGGAGGAAAGACAGCATCCTTAACAAATAGTACTAGGAAAACTTGCTATCCACATGAAGAAGATTGAATCTAGATCCATATCTCTCAGTGTACTATAAAAAAAAAAAAAAAAAAAAAAAAAAAAAAAAAAAAAAAAAAAAAAAAAAAAAAAGCCAGGTACAGAAACTAACCAGCGCACAGGAGTCTTTTCTGGGATGGTTATACAGGCCAGTTAAACAATCCCTGAGAAATGGAGGAAAGACAGCATCCTTAACAAATAGTACTAGGAAAACTTGCTATCCACATGAAGAAGATTGAATCTAGATCCATATCTCTCACAGTGTACTAAATTAACATTTAAAAATCTAACTTAAAACAGAAACAATCTGCTGGAAGATAAAATAGGTAAAACTCTTGAAATTATAGATGTAGGTAAGGATATTCTGAACAGAACCCTAACTTCACAAGAAATAATATCAATAATCAAAAAATGGGATCACAACAAATTAAAAAGCTTCCATACAGCAAAGAAACAACATACAAAGTACTGGGATAGCCTACACAATGGGAAAATATTTTTGCCAGCTGCTCCCCATGCAGAGGACCAATATCTAGAATATTTAAAGAACTAAAAAAAATTAGACCCCATCGAAACAAAATAATCAAAAATTGACAACTGAAATGAACAGACATTTCTCAGAAGTACAAAGGGTCAATAAAATACAGAGGTAAGGGGAAAAAATGAGAATCAAGACTTGCCATGTAGAGGTACATGATCCCAACAATGAATGTACCTGTACTGTATCCCTAAAATGTACCAATAAACTCAATAAAATTAAAAAATATATATAAATAAAAAAATAAAAAATAAACATATAGAAAAAAATAAAATACATGAAAAAAATGTTTAACATCTCTGGCCATCAAAGAAATACAAATTAAAACAACACTGACATTCCACATTACTTCAGAAAGAACAGCTAAAAGAAATAAATAAATAAAATAATAACAAATGCTGGAGAGGCTGTGGGAAAACAGAATTCTTCTTCATTGTTGGTGGGAATGTAAACTAAATTATAAAACTATTATGGGAATCACAATGGAAATTCCTGAAGAAATTCTGTTCAACTCAGCTATTCCCCTTCCAGGTATTTTCCCAAAAGAATTAAAGACATCAGGGTTGGGGATTTAGCTCAGTGGTTCCACCACCTGCTTCACAGGTGCAAGGTCTCGAGTTCAATCCCTGGTACAAAAAAAAAAAGACATCATATTACAGTGATACATGCATACCCATGTTTATAGCAGCACAGTTAATTATAGCTAAATCTTGCAAGTGGTCTATATGTCCATCAACAGATAAACAGATAAAGAAAATGTGATATTTAAACACAATGGAGTACTACTCTGCTATGAAGGTTAAGCTTGAGTCACTTGTAGGAAAATGAATGCACCTTGAGACCATAATGCTAAATGAAGTAAATCAGATACATAAGCTTCAATATTGCAAATTATAAATAAAGAGCAAAATAAAAGACAGACAACAGGAAACAGGGAGATTGGTATTTTGCAAATGAGAAAGGCATCAAGAGATGGAGTATGGGTAAGTACAAAGTAGTAAGATATGTTATGCACATGTAACAACTCCCCACGATGAATGTAAATATAACTTACTAAACACATGTATTAATAAAAAGTTTTTAAAAGAAAAAATAAGTTTATAAAAGTAGCTAACATTTAGAGAGTTCTACCTATGTGCCATTCCTACTTCAAAATGCGTATCATTTCATTTCATTCTAACAGTCTTTTAAAAGAAATTTGATTCTTTTCCTCATTTTGAATGAAGAAACAGAGCACTGAAGTAATTTTCAGCAAGGATCCAAGTCTGAAAGAACTCTGCTCTTTGCCTCTGTGAAATTAAAAGTATGGTCTTTCTGGAGGTTTACTAAATAACTCCAAACTGCCACAGTGACATATAAGGTGATAGTGCTCTTAAAGCCCAAAGCGAAACTCTTCATAGCTTACAAAAGACACATGTGCATACTTAGAAAATGGCTGGTATATACCTTAATCAAATAAATATACAAGCTCTGTAATGATGAAAAATGCTATTTATAGTATACGCATAGGGGGGATTTAGCTCAGTGGTTCTGCCACCTGCCTCGCAAGCGCCAGGTCCAAAGTTCGATCCCCAGTATATTAAAAAAAGCATATTCATAGGTATATATAATTTCTTAATCTGATATATAAGATTATAACTGAAAGAACCTAAGTTCTTCGCATAAGGGTGAAGAATGGCTAAGACAGTTATTACTTTTAATCCTGATTAGAATATGCTCCAACTCTATAATTACTAATTTTTATGAAGCATAAAGTAGAAGATAATTAGAAACATCAGACTAGAAATGGAGAGCTGTATTATGTACAAAGTTGTGAAACAGCTTTTGTTCTAGAGCTTGTTTCATTCCATAAGTCTATCGTAAGTCAGGAGTTGGGAGTTGCAGGCTACCTTTGCTACCAACTTGCTGGCCTCGTTTACACAAACTGCTTCACTGTTTCAGTTACTCAGTGCTCTCATCTCTCAAATGGGAATAATATCTACTATGTCCACTTCATTCAGTTAAAAAAATGTTTAGTAATGGCAATGATGCAGTGTCTATATAGAGAATTATCACTGGCTGGCACTGTGCTCTTTAATTAGGTGTGTTAGGGATGGGCAGTGGTACTATTAATCTTTTCAAACTGTTTTCACACATGACTCATTGTTTGACTCACATAACAATTCTGGAAATAAGTGAGAAATGGACTGACTATTAAATAAGGAAAAGCAGCACGGGTTGGCTATGTAGCTATCCTTGTATCATTCCAACAGCCCAGAAGTACAATTTTCCTAACATCCAGTTCAGTTTTGGCTTTGAATTCTGCTAACTCAACAATGTAGCCCTTTGGATCAAAGGCTGTTGGGAGTCTTCAATCTGAGTTAAATACAACAAAGGTACAAATATGTTGAATTGATAAAATAAGAAATCTGCTCTCTGTTGATTTACAGCCCACAGTTTATGAAATCAACCCATATACCTTGATTTCTGGGAGCTGCATAACTTCAGGAAAGACCTCAATGCAATTGGAGTGAGCAATCACAGTGTGCATGCGCCTGCAATTCATGATCGTTGTTGGGATGGCTTTCAGTTTATTCCCACTGATATCAATTTCTTCAAGTTCCTCCAGTTTTGCCATTTTACTAAAAAAGAGAAAAATTCACAAAGGAAGAATTTATAAAATTATTATAAGGCAAGTTAAACACATAAGCACAATAAAATCAGAATCAAAGTAGACTTTGAAGACTGATTTGTAATAGTCATTTTAAAAAATAATATTTTTTACCATTGTTTTTGAGTATCAAAGTATTTTATTAACTCCTTTCCTATTATAGAACAAAAGCTTAACTTCAACTCATCAAACTGGCAACAATTTTTTTCCACCTAAAAATTTGTGTATAAGTTATCCTGGCAATGATCAGTTTGTTATGTAGCTTAATCTGAACTCCAATGAAAATCCTACTTAAATCAAAAGCAGGCATTAATCAGTATAATTACTTTAAGAGAGCTTACTTTGAGAACAAGACTTCTTACTTTTGGCACTGAAAGCCCACAGGGATGCAAAGAACAGAGCAGTAGCTCCTACTAAGATATGCTTTATTCCTCAAACCTCAAACCCCAAACCACTCTGACATCCCGCATGATTAAAAGGTGGTAGTGAGGCATGCGGATATGTTGAAAGCCATTTAAAATACCTCTTGGCCTCCTGGCAGTGCCCAAATCACCATACAGCTTCTACTCTTCAATGTTCTTTCTACCCTTGGTGATGAGAAACTAAATACAGGATTCCAACTTAATGAAACTCGTTTATAATATGAGTCATTTAGGATACAGTTACAGGTATCCTTTCTGCTTGTGATTTTGTCACAACATACTTTGACAAAAATTAGCAAAAAGAATTTTCTTTCTGTCACCTCTCAAAATTGAAGGCTATTACATTTGCTTATCTTGAAAATAAGTATGTGTCTAGGAAATAGATTTTTATCTTATGAAATCAGATCTTCTGATATCATAAGCTTCCCACAGGCTCTCAGGGTATATTATAAACAATATTAATACACAGATATTCAAGTAATCCATCTATGATAGCCCAACTTCATAAAGTATTATTTAACTATGATACCCTCATATTTTGAGAGAAACATGGAGATAACAATGGGTAATAGGCAAAAATGATCAAAGATTCACAGATCAGGCCCAAGAAAGGAAATGTTAAAACATTTCCATTTCTGAAAACAGAAGGTGAACCAAGAATGGCTTGAGAAAGGGGGCATGTTCATAACTATTTGTTGAATGTCTGTCATAGGCCAGACCTCATATGACACATGAAGTTGAAGGAGATAAAAAGCCACAGTCCTAGCTCTTGAGGAGCTCAGGTCTTCTAGGAGATCAATGCACCAAATCATGACACCCAAGGTGAGAAAAATCACAGCAAAATGAATTTTTACAAAGCATATAAAAAACTTGTTCTTAGGGTAGGGTGATTGAGTCACTAGGGAAATAGCCTCAGAATTAGAGCCAATGATCAGTTCTTCTGCAGGTTTTTATAAAGTTGCTATCTGAAATAGGATAATGAACCCTTTCAAATATATAATTATTATGTGACTATTATGTTTTTTCCAAAATATTATTTCTGCAGTCCACAGTAAAGTAAAAGTATGTAGAAGTAACCAACAGTTTAGCTACCAATATCAAATGAGCAGAAAAAATTTAAAAAAAGGTACTACCATAAAAAAATCAAATCTGAATTTACCACATTTTTGGGCCTTCATCCTCCTGCTAGGTCTTGAAACAGACTGGTGGTCCTGCTGGCAGCACAGGGAGGCTATACTAGCATTATTATGACTTGGTCCTTAAGTCAAACTACAGTTACCAGTAGAATTCTAGCAGGGCTAATGTTTGCTTCTTCTTATGTGGGTATGTGCTCCAAGTCCTAGCTTGTTAGGTGAATAAATGCCAATGAAATGGAAACAGTAAATAAATCCTCACAGCAAGTTCAGTGTGTTGATCCACTCAAAAGTAGACACTATGCTACCACACCCCAAAACTTAAACATTAAAATGTACAAAATTAAAAACGAAATCTTCTGAGAGTCATAATTTACAGTCACATAGTTTCTATGGTGGGAGAGGATACCACCACTTTATATTGTTTCTTTGTTGTAGTGCTGGGGAGAGAACCGAAGGCTTTGTGCATCCTAGGCAAGTACCCTACCACTACATCCCCAGTTCCCACTGCTTTTTATACTATAAGCATTAATACAAAAGCTAATATTTAGTCAAGAACTTTTAGCTTTCCAGGTTATATTCCAATTCTCCCACACCAAAATAATATTTTTTTAATCAATTTGACTGGCTGAAGAGAAGCAATAGGAAAAATGTTTACCTACTAAACAATATACCTCATTTCAAAATCTTTTTTTGTTTGTTTGATTTTTGAGAGAGGGTCCCACTATGTAGTTGAGACTGACCTGGAACTCATTAAGTAGCCCAGGCTGGTCTCAAACTCACAGCAACCCTCCTGCCTCAGCCTCCCAAGTGCTGGAATTACAGGCGTGTGCACCATGCCCAGTGCTCATTTCAAAATCTTAAGAACATTCTAGTGGCTAGGTCTGTGAATACATTCACGTTAGAAAAGTCAATACACTTCTCTTTAGGGTTATGCTGACTGTACCTTGTGTAAAAGACAAATGTAAATGTGAGGGGAATAAGCAAACAAGCTTTACATTACTTTTGAAATAAACATTTCAGCTTTTACCTTTCTCCTTTCTATAAGTACATTTATAGAAATGCAAAGAAGAACGTCATTTTAAAACCTGCCCTTACCTTGCTGGAAAACTCTGAAGTCGGTTATAAGCCATGTGAAGGATCTTTAGACGGGGGTGTCCTGTTAATAAGGGCACACATTTATCTGTGAGGTTGTTATTTGTCAAATACAACTCCTGTAAGATACTGTTTGTCTCTTCAGAAAGTGTAGCTGGAGGAATGGTTTCCAGTTTGTTTGCAGATGCATTCAGGAATCTCAAGCTACAATGACAAAATGCAATAAAACTCATTGATAAATTGGAGTTCTAGTTTAGATACTTGCACAAACTTAGAAACTGATGAATACCAGGCATATCAGAAGATGGGTTTATAAACATAAATGAAAAAGCAGGTCTTGGCTTCAAAGAATTCAATTTAGCAGGTATATGGATTCCTATCTACAATGAACACAATGTACCCATTTAAGTTTGCAAAGAGACATATATTCATTTTTATGGAAGCACAAATGTAAGAGGAATTATTTTTATAACTGATAGTGGAAAAGAAAGCAGTAAGGCAAGATTAATATCTGACTTAAAGAAGAGGAAAAAAAGGGGCTTTAAAAAAATAAAGGGGTCCTTAGAATAATACAACAATTAGGTATATCATAATATAACTAAACCACATTCAGTAAGATACCCAAACTACTTTTACTGCCATATATTCATAACTATAGGAGGTAAGCGGTTCTGTAGTAACACCATACTATACAGCAAGGAGAAGAACTGTAAGTAATAGTACAGCAACAACAGAATGAATCTCACATATAATGCTGAGAGAGGCCAGATACAACAGTGTTGCATGACTCTATCACTATAAAGTATGGAAGTCAAGGAGACTAATCTATGGTAATAGAAGTGAGGGTGGTGGTATTCTTAGGTGGGGAGGAAGGCAGCATTCAGAAGAAAGCATGGTTACACAAATATGTTCACTTGGAGAAAATCAAGCATTACAGTTATGATGTGGCCACTTTTCTGTATTTATATTATACTTAATAAAATTTACCATAAAACAGACAATATAAATACTGCCAGAGTTTCCAGATGGCCGGGTGAACAATGGATAAAACACAAAGAACAGTTTTAAACCTAAAATAGCAAACACTGTCAAAATCTACATAATTCTTGCAATTATTTTGAGATACAGATGAACACACAATACATTGCTAGGGCCTGGATAAAAATCTTTGCTGTGATCAGGTTCCAAATAATTCTAAAGAAATGGAAGAACAGACTTCACCACGGCTCACAAGTCAGACATACTTCTGCCTCCAGGGACGTCCAGCTCTGCAGATGGAGCAATCGGGAAACGGTGAGAGTGCAGTACAGAGGGCTCCTGGATCTACACTGTTAATGAGCCACACCATTCTCTTGGTTCAAAATCACCTGGGTTTAAACTTTTGGAATGAAGTTGGGACTGTCTGTCATATGTTAAAGGAAAACAATAAAACCCTCCTTTAAAAGGAAAGATATGAAATACCAGATATGGTTATTTTTATCTTGGATAAAACGCTTTATATTAGGAGTCTTTCTTAGGACTGTTATTCCACTCTCTCAATCTAATAACTTAACACTTACCAATCTTTCATCCCCTACACAATTACACAAACAAAATCCACTACTTGACTGAAGAAAAGCAGCTTCCTTAAAATAGAATATTTTCTTAAAGAAACAAGTATTCTGACTTTTTTTTTTTAAAGGGAAGTTAAAGAGACTGGTTGTACAGACCATAAATAGTCATGGGAAATTATAGTTGTGTATGGCAGAGAAGAAAATAAAGGTCATTCATACATTTTTTGAAATTATTTTGAACTAAGAAAGAAACCAGTTTCAACCCCAGAATTCTTTAAAGCCTCTTTTATGAGTCTTACTTATTCTACCTGACTTAAATATCCTGTTAAGATTTTTTTCACTGGGGCCCGGGATTTAGGTCAGTGGATTTAGACTTGCAAGTGCTAGGTCCTGAGTTTGATCCCTGGTACCCGCCCCCCCCAAAAAAGTTTTAAGCTGGACTTGGTGGCACATGCCTGTAATACTAGCCCTTGGGCTGAGGCAGGAGATCACTGCAAGTTCGAGACCAGACCAGCCTGTGCTATGTAGTGATTTCTAGGGCAGTCTGAACTGCATAGTAAGACCTTGTCTAAAAATAAACAAACAAACAAACAAACAAATATATAAATAAATAATTTTTAAAAAATTGTTTTCACTGTAGAATTAGAGTAAATTAAATTGTAAAAAATACACTTTTGCCCTAAAGTATCATAGACTAGGGTCAGCTTGGAAAACACCTGACAAATTTATTAAAATACAATTTTCTAGGAAATATGTAATACATACAAGAAAAAAGAGGAAAATTAGTTCAGAATGTTTGCATACTTTTAGGCTAAAAATGAAAATGTGCTTTTAAAAACACTGCAACTCAATGCTCACCTAGAAATCTGAAGAAACATTTAAAACCCCTCACAGCAACTGAAGGGAAGAAATAATTTTCAAAGACTTATCCTCTCATCCTTTTGAAATTTACCTAGACTTAAGGAATTTATATACTCTACAGACAACATAAATAAAGGGAAAAAACTCACATCAGATTCCTCCAGGAAATGAAACAAGTTAATTGAACCTACGTAGGTTAATTCCAAAGGATGTTATCTGAACTATATAAAGTCTACCTGAACCACCTTTATAATGATCAAAAAGCAAGCAATAGGACTAACAAGATTTTCAGTTATAATGGTATCAGGAAAATTAAATTCAACATCCATTGTCTTAAGATTCATTTCCCAACCTCATGATATTTGACCAGAAAACAAATTTAATGGTGTAGGTGTTATCTTTCCACCAGAAGGAACAACTACTTGGGATATGCAAATTTTTTCCACTTTGGGTAACAGTCAATAAATGGGCTCTGTAACTCCACTAGCTATCTTCAACCCTGTGGAAAAACTACTCCCTTACAGATGTTTATAATAGCTGTAAGAAGAGAAAAAAAGACTGTTTAAAATGTCAATCTTTTTCACTATGCAATCTTCTAATTAGAGAAAAAGCAGTAAAATGTATCACTGCTTTCATTTATAAGGTGCTTCATAAAACTACAGTTCTTTTCTATTTTTCATCTCATTTGATTTTCCCATCACCCCAGATACCCCTTCATACTTCATGGAAAACAAAATTGAAGTTGAGAATGTCAAATTGCTTGGCAGTGGTTAAATAGATAACTAGTAGCAAGGTGAGAATAAAACCCAGATTGCATTTCTCTCCAAAATCCAAACATTAAAAAGAAATAAATGCCTTTTTCTGAGATGTTTCACCAGCCCTTTTTTCCAAAAAAGCTGGGGGTCAAGCAGGGCACTTGTTGGTGCATGTGAAGTTCATGTATGTTCAGCTGTTCAAACTCAATTCTTACAACGAGGTAATAATAGCAAAGAACTCAAAATTTTTTCTTAGAGGAACATGTAAAAGTCATAAAGAAAAGACACACGGAGGTCCAAGAGCACTTGCCCTCAATAGCAGTAACACAAATCCTCTACCTGCCTCTGGAGCAATTGGTTTGCTTCTCTGTCTTGGTACTATATCCATTTGGCCCCATCAAGGTTGTTTGTTTTTGTCAGTTTGTATTTCAGAAATTTCTACACACACTTAAATTTTACAGCCAGATTCTGTGCTTGAAACAGTGTAAGATTTGGTACATAAGGAATTTACCTGTTGATAGACAAACTGGGTATTCTGCTTTTAAACAGTTTTTCTGGAGATTAATTCTAGGACTTATATTCTATTAAAAACCAAGGTCTGTCACGTAAAGGTACAAGATCCCAATGATGAATGTAACTGTACTGTATACCTAAAATGTACCAATAAACTCAATGAGGAAAAAAAAATCCAACTGGTTCTGCTTGCTTCAGCAGCACATATACTAAAAATCCAACTGGTTAAATGTTTAAACTGAACAAAACTTTTGTACTAGGGGTCAGGGATTTAGCTCAGTGGTTTCATGGCCTGCCTTGCAAGTGCAAGGACCTGAGTTCAATCCCAAGTACCAAAAAAAAAAAAAATCACTTTTCTACTTTTAGACAACTCCCTGGTTTCACTCTGTAGAATGTTTCAGAAGTGTCAAATGAAAATATCTGAATTTCTTATTTTTGCTTGCCTGAAGTTAAACAATTTCATCTACCTTCACAAGGGTGACAGCTCTTGAAGCAGGCATTTTTCAACTTTTTATGATAGGAACTAAGATTATATAATACATGCTACATGAGTAGTCAGTACACACACAACATATATTTGGTGTAATGGAAATGAGTATTTTATAAAAGAGTATTTCAACTCTGTGATACTATTTTCTACAACTTCTTAAAATGCTGATTATACTATGCTATCACTAATGTTATACCCCACTAATTAGATTGAAAACAGAATGACATTATTTATTATCTAGCATCACCACCTAAGACTGGGAAACACAAGTGAAGAAAAAGTGGACATAATCTAACTAAACTCATATCACCATTATTTTGGAAGGTCTGAGAATCTACCTGACTTGGGTAATAAAGACTTCACATAAGCCTAGAGAGCAAAGAAACAAAAATTACTCAGATTTAAGTCATTGAACAAGAACTTTAAAAAAATAGTTTTAAGATGGATGCGATAATACAATCTATGGACCTAATCTTATGTGCATCAATTATCTTACTCATATCTTCATCTGGCCCAAGATCCAATGCAAGACAAACCTCTGCATTTCACTATCATGCCTCCTCAATCTCCTCCTGTCAGCTTTGTGTCTTGTAAATGATCTGACAGTTTTGAAGAGTATGAGGCAACTATTTTGTACAATGTCAATTTAGGTTTCATGATTTGTCACATTAGAATAAAGTCACTTTTTTTTTTTTGGCAAAAAGACCACAGAAGTTGTACTTTTCTCAGTGCATGCGAGGAGAAACAACATGCCAATATATAACTACTGGTAACATTGACGACCACTTGGTGGTACTTGCCAAGTATTTCCCTGTAAAGTTCTAATTTCTTTTGTAATTAATGAATCTGTGGGGAGATCATTTGAGCCTCATCATACTTTCACCCACTAATTTAGCATTTTTGCTCACAATAATTATCTCTGCAGTGTTTGCCAAATGGTGATTTTTGTATTTCCATGAGTCCTTCTACTTAGTTTATACTAATTGGAATAATACTGCAAGGGATGCCCCTATTTATCTACTCAATTATATT